CTTGAACCCGCGACATAAATTCATTGGCAATAATGGGCTTGCAGATATTGGAGTTAACATTGGCCATCGACTTGTGCAGAAGCTACATTGACAAGGTGACAACTAATCTTCTAGGAATGTAGCTGTATCGTTTTCCTTGAGCTCGTCGAATGTCTTTCCGTACCCAGTGTGTTGCAAGTTTTCATGAACAGAATCATACAAATGCACTGGTTTTTACTTTTTTTGAGTAATAGGATTTTCGTTTCGCCTATATAAATTATATTGAACGTTTGCACTCAGTGTTTATACTTTATCTGACCGCAAGGATTCTTTGGTCAGAATGGCTTTGCGTGATGCTCATACATTTATTATTGTGAATAGTATGTTATATGTATCACTGTGATAAAAAATTTTCACATTTTTGCAAAATGGGTCAAATCCTAGAACGGGTCATAACATTACTAACCTTCAACTGTAAATTTTGTGTGTAAATCTTTGCGCGGCGAATTTCTATACTTATACTAAGCCCGCAAAAGTAAGAGGTGCTTTTATAGTCTAATACTTTTTCTCTTCATCATTCTTGTCATGCTAAAGCAATATACCATGAGAGATACAAATACAGTTATTCAAAACGATGTCGCAACTAATTTACTAAATCATTGAAACGGACTCTGGATATTCCATCTCCTCTGTCAAAAACTTTTCTCTGTGGTTTAACGTGCTATTATATCGCACGGTTGAAACTGGTAGCTTTGTGACATTTGACAGTATAGTTTGCATATTTATTTAGGATGCATAATAGAAAATTGTAAGTATAAATATTAAGTTATTAGTAAATACTGTCAACACAACTCAAATAAAAAGTCAGACTTTTCCAAAATCTAAAATGTCCAGCAATCGCATTCCTTTCCTTATTTTTAAACTTTGTATAGTCGTCTTTCCTATAAACTACAAACTTCTGCATTTATCTCATGCACGAGGAATGTACTTTAACGGCAGTATAAGAGCATTGTTACAAAGTCACCCATCAATGAACTAAACCTACGTTACTATTATTGGCAATACTTTTCAGTTAACATACGAACGACTCCACGGACAATCCCCATACAAATAATTACAATCGTTGCCATACACATTTCTATATTTTATGAGCAATTTTTTCGCTGCTGAGCACGCCTACACTGCCAGACATTAGACACGTTTTCTGCCTAGATAAAGGCAAGCGTTCAGTTTGTAATTCGGAATATAATGTAAGACTACAACACATTTAACATCATTTACCCCCATTGGCAAGTATGGATATTACACTAAATTGCTCACTTTTTTACATATTGCATAGATAATAAATACTGAAAGTAATAATATTTTCTGTTGAGCCAATTAACAACATTCTAATGGTAAATGATCCTTTTTCCGGTGCGCGTTTATTTGAATACAAATACCTTATAATATTTCTTTATGTGTTTAATAATAATGTACGTAAACCTCCTCTTTGTGTCGTGTCAATGTGTAATTTTGCTTCCTCAAAAATAACAGCGAATCGTTGTATAAAATCAACCACTCATTATAATCACGTTCAAATTTCCAATAAAAAAACTTATAATATTTTCAGCATTTCAAGTAAACTAATCTCCATTACTTTGAAAATTTACATACCACAAAGTAATTTTCGATTAGTTTGCGATGTCGACGACGTTGTGTTGAATGACATCGCCTAACTGGTTAGACAACTTTATTTTCGCGTACTGCAGTTTACTTTTACTGTATATATAAGGATGGGACGACTAGACTATAAGTAATAATGAGGCTTATGATCCCAACCAAGCTGCATCAATGTCATAGTAGGTTCTTAGTTTGTATTAACTTTTTTATTAGCATCACATGTCTTTTTATTAATATTAGAATAATAGTCGTAAATATGTAACAAGTGATGTCAAATAGGTAAGGTAAGATTTACATATTAAAATACTAATTATTATTCAATGACAAGTCATTGAAGGAAGCAGCCAGTTGACGCACCGAATTTTTCTGTAATAAATAATGGTGTTAATTACGCGAGATAGTGTGCCAAATTAGCTTAATGTACATACCCTGAGATTCTGTCGGTGCAAGTCAAGCAGCTTACGGGACTGCTCATCTTTTTGTCGGCCCAAGTATGAGCCGAACTGACGCATGAGCTGGTTGAGTGTTCGACCTGCTCGTTTTTCAGACAAAATAAAAGCTCGTAGCGCTTCTTCGTAAGTATTGGTATCCATCGTTCCTGTGTTGAATTATTTCAGAATTAGTTACTGTACTGTATACAATTGTTTGGCATCGTTTCTATACCGTTTTTTGCTAAGCAAATTATTTGTACCCACCGTCACGAGGGCACGAGAGCGCGTGAACAAGGCAAACGAGAACTTACGGTATTCTGCCTTATTTATAACTTTCCCAGAATGGCTAATAGTAATAGAGACTTATTTACAGAATACCGCCCCCTTACGATGAGGCTTTCCCCCATTATTAAAATTTTTCTTATAAATGGCATTGATACGTTCTGGCCCAGATATATGCTGGTGTTTGATTGCCATTTGAGTACACGTTAAAATATGCACGTAGTCCTAATAAAGGTTTGTTGATGATCTGCTGCACGGCAAGGTACAAATAATGCGCAGATCTTATGAAGCAAATTTATAACAATTGCTAATCGATATGTCTACAGCTTCGAGGGTTATTGATTGCGGAATTGATTGTCTGCATTATTTGACAGATGATCTGCTGCGAAAATTACATGGCATGGCTAGTTGCATTAGTATACACTAGTGTTTTTAACGATATTATGCTTTCATAACATCCCCAAGCTTAATCCCAAGCTCATGTGATTCTATCTGCGATTGGTTGGTTAAACTAAAATTTGGTTAGACGGCAGCAAATACTTTCCATAAATAACGATCGTCATGTGGGATCGCAGCCCTTATCTTATCCCCCCAAAAGTTATTGCTTATTGTCGCCTACCCCAAGATGATTAGGGATAGATTTTTAATTGCTCAATCCGGGGAAAGTGAACCTTCTGACTACAATGGCACCAATTTCTTCTATAATCTTTCAGCATTGAGCCCAAGGCCGTTACCAAGCGAAAGGCGACTGCCATTTCTCGATAGTCAACTTCGGCAACTAAACTACGCTCGCTACGACAATGGGAGTAAGCAGCAATGGGGCTAGCCAAATCAACAACAGCTGCCCAGAAAAACGCCACCGTCCAATTTACAGGACTCTAACACTACTAACGCATACCACACACTCTGACCAGCGCCTTTGCGGCCGTCACTTTCAACGAGAGGCAGCAAAAAGAAGATATATATACATGAAGCATCACCATCGATCGTTAATACCATATAGAAAATGGCTGTAACTCCCATTCGACCGCCGGGGGGACCACACACTCTGACCAACGCCTTTGCGGCCGTCACTTTCAACGAGAGGCAGCAAAAAGAAGATATATACATGAAGCATCACCATCGATCGTTAATACTATATAGAAAATGGCTGTAACTCCCATTCGACCGCCGGGGGGGGTTGCGCACCTTTTTGATAATAACTGCCGCCACCTGTGCTAAATCATTTCCATCTTTCACCAGGCTTTCTCTACCTGACGCGTATGCACGCCACATTCAACATCATTTCCCGTCGGCCCTCTTTACTTATCAGAAAGCTGATAGAGTTTCAGCGGTCATTTGTTTATTGATATATCAGAACGGAAACAGTATGAAACAAAATATTTCAAACAGCGGGTATCTGTCGGGGTTGTTCTTGTGGGGACCCGGAAAGACAACGTGGAGTTTTGCGTTCTTTATTTGTTTACACCTACGATTGAACGCTAAAGGTGTACTTGCAACAATAAAGCATAAACATTACATATATTAAATAAATTTACATACATATTCTATATTATACTTACACTTATCTATAAACCCTTGTGTTACATAATTAACCAGCTATTCAGTCTAGCCGCGGGGGGGGGGTGTGAAGAGGGATGCTATGGTAGTTTCCGGGAAAGACAACGTGGGCCCGGTCTTTAGGCCGGCATATATATTGGAACGGGACTTCTGATATGGACGTGTGGGATGACGAGGCTCAGTATATGTGGGACTATATGCCAGGAAAACAGACGTTGTTGGGCGGCCAATGGCAGTTTGCTATGACGGACAAGTACCGGAGAAAGAAGACTGTTCGTTGGGGTGTAGTATAGAAAGTAGGGATTATCGTGATGATATGGAGAGGTGGTATTTGGAGTGGTTGTAGATGTAGTACATGTTGACGATTCATTATGTTAATAAAGGTTTCCGTTTACATTATTGGAGGTTATCAATGTCACTAACGACACTACCGTGGCAAACGTCTACGAAACTGTGTATCAATATTTGCGCTTACTGCGAAAACTATTATAACTTACTAAGGCACCTCCTATATACAGTATATAATAACCACATTATTTATTCTATCGAAACACGTCAAACTTATAGTAAGACGCAATAAAAATTCCCAACTTCCACATCGGTATGCAAAACGAACAGACAAACAATTACCTTATCTCAATAATACAATTTCGTTTCCTTTCGCTAGTGTTTTTACATTGTTCTCTTGGTCGGACTAGTGGTGAAAATCCTTTCTCAGGATGCCACATCCTATCTGTTGACATGACACCTTTAGCGTTCAATCGTAGATGTAACTAACAAATCAGATGGGATATGCGTTCCTTATCTTCACAAAACCAGCAACTGGATAACTGCGCTTATGCTGCACTATCAGCAGGACAATAACAATTTCTTTCCAAGACCATATTCCCCAATAACTGAATGAAACATTACCATTTTGGGAGACGTCCATATGAACATTCAATATGTAACATCGCGCAAATATCTAACGAGATATGTCGTGAAACCTAAACAAATCAAACATTCAATATCTCAGATATCCAGAACACATGTTTTGCTATTAGGCGAAACCATATGTTCAGTATGAGTAAAAATAATATCCTTACATGCAATCTTGCAATCAGCAATTTATTTTAACGAATTGGTATCACCTATTTTTAATATTCGCGCCAATATTCATCGTCCTTTTCAATAACTAATTTGCATCTGCGCCTTATTAATTTTACTAAATGCTTTCTTGAATAGCATTTCCATTCCTCTTTCATAAAACAACTTGGATCTTGCACATTCTCTTTTCGACGTTTCCTCTACCAATATTCCAATAAGAGTTAAATCTGGACTGTTTGCTGGCCAGTATGGTATGTTACGTGTATATCGACATAAAACTCTGCATTTATAACATTTCCAAGTTTACGCTAATAATTTCTTTACCCACTGTACTACTCTCCTCCATTATAAACTTTTCCGTCTCTAGACTAATATAAACAGCTAGTATCCGAAACGATTCAATATTCACCTCCTCAAAAGTTAATCGAATCCACATAATAATTATCCTTGCACCGCCATATCGTCACTCTATAATCCTCATCACACACGTAACTCAAACGTGTAAATGTCATCATCCAACATAAGATTATCGAAATTTTCGAATAGTTTAGTACTTTGATAAGAACTTTGATGATAATTATTATATTAATGGTAACGGCAATCAAGTACTACTGAACCACCCAAACGAGAAAAAGTTAAAGCAAGAAAGAATTTATCAAAGATTCTAACAATAATGTTTCAGTTATTTATTTTCCTTCCTTGCAATCAACGAATACAGCAATAACGGTAATTGCACAATCCACCACGAATTTGTTAAAGGGCCTTCGCGTAATTCGATGCAGCGCACAAATTTATCATCACGTGCGAAACACTACTTACACAGATTATCTAGTTAAATAAACTTGCACTTTAAGGCTGCACGGACTTTGAAACAATTGATTTGCCTATCAAACATTTATTCCTTGATGCAATAAATAAGATGCATCATCGTTTCCTTTCCAAAATTTGGCCTAGTTATTAATCTCTTGCGTCTTTGATCACTTTCCAGCACCTTTGCTGATTGTTTACAGAGCAACTTTCAACCGAGCATAATCCCCTACGTCTGACCATTTCATACGCTGTCGTTAATAAGCTTTGGCTCTTGCGGCACATCTACAAACAGTTAACAAACTGTCAGGGATTGTTCGGTTATTTGATTGGTTGATCGCGTGATTCAAAATTTTTCAAATATGGGGGACAAAGTAAAATCTGTTGGCGCTTTAATAGCGTTATATTGTTTATTATTTCACTTTGTTGCCCCAATACGATGATATGAAAGGCGGCAGGGATTGTACTCTTGGATTGGCGTTTGAATTTCAAGAGTCCATCATTAGATTAGTGCATACGCCTTGTTGGCAGTTAACTCATCACCTGATGTGTTTTACGTTTTATGCTTTATGACGCAAATCCACTATGCGGGTGATTATTTGTAGATTTGAAACCCATAATTTTTTTGTGTGCCACACACACAGTCCAATGAGAAAGAAGTGTGAGAACAGCCTGCCTGTTAGGCACAATTTTTGAGTTGTTGTGAAGTTTGTGGAACAATCCGGTGGGGGACGGCCCGGTATAAGCATAGAAAATTGTAAATCAAAAAGAATTAATAAACCTTTTTTTGGGAAAGCAATGGCAGTTTAAATGTTGAATCAAGAAAGAGAAAATTCATAGAGAAGATTCTATAGAAATCGACGGGTTGAGTGCTACCAATGCGTTGCCCTAATACCGCATGTCATTATAAACGGGGTTTAAAATATATTCTTTCATATATCATATTAATGATCCGATGACTACGGGGGGGAATCAGCAGGCGCTGATGTTACGGATGGGATACATGTTTAGCATCATTGCCAAGTTACTACTACCAACCCGTTTCAAAGTGACTGAGAGCCGGTTTTAGAACGCGATGATAGATAGATAGTTCTGACAGTTGTTGTCGGGGCCCTAATGCTACGCCGCACCACATGTTCGCATTGTCGAGCACGAGAAAAAGGCAGTCCCGTAAATTGCAAACGAACTTTTATTGGCCGACCGATCCCGAGAGCTACAGTGTTACAATAAATTTGCTAGCGGAGATTTTTTATCTAAAGGAATGTTTTTTCTCCGGAGATGCAAATGAGAAAATGATTGCGATTAATGTATATAATTCATATATGTGTGTGTGCGCTGTGTTGTGTATGAGAGCTCCGAGACTTGGCATCGGAATTTTTTATCGATCGAGAAAGCTTGACAATGGGGGTTTAGTTTGCTTTTTCCCACTATGGGCATTTCGACAAATTTCATTTTCGGATCAATTAATTAGGAACAATCAATCCCATTTGCCTCTCCACTCTTTTCTCTTCACCCAATCACTGTCAACAAACAATTCACGAAATATAAACGTCAATGAACTTGTAATTAAAAAAGTGGGTGTGTGCGATACACAGGCATTTAATAAAGTTTAAACATTACAATTAAATTGTTCATTAAAGCAAAAATCTACTAAACAAAAGAGTGCAAACTATAATAAAGTTGTATTACTTCTAAAATAATTTTCATCGCGTAACTTTATTCCAAAAAACAAAATGCAAAAAAGAGAACAAGAAGAAAGAAAAAACTAGAATGAGAAAACAAATCACTTTCATCATTCCCAAAGCGCCCAAATATAGAAACACGCAAATGATTATTACAACGTACGCAAAAAGCGCACTAATTTACAATCTGTATGTGAAATGGAACAAAGCAAGGATGAAAAAAAAAGGGGACCAATTACTATATGAGAAAGGAATGTCTAAGGGTTTGCTTAAACAAGCATTATGTCTTGATTATCGTACAAAGAACTATATGTGTCTTGTATGTTCGAGTGTATTTAAATAAATAATCGCTTGGAAAAGTATTTATCAAAAAAACTCTTCGTGTTTGAAAACGAGAGAAATTGATGACCTATGTCGTCTAAGATATAAATTTCTCTTAGTGTGTGAGTAAACAATCAGCCAATGTTTTCAACAAAGAAATAATAAAAAATTGTATAGGCGGGATTAAAGCTTAGGTGTTTGATATGGTGGTGGAGAAAAATGGAAAGATGGGGAAAGCCATGTATATACTCTAGAACCTAACTGTTCTATCGTCTATAAATTATATTAAGCATGTTTAAATTAGAAAGTGGGAAAAAAGCGAAAAAAAAAATTAATTCTAACAATATGCGCGCATTAAACACAAAGTCCGATTTTGATTACTCAGTAATCATTAAGATTTTCTTCTATACACGAATTACATGTGCGGACTCTGCTGTGACATCGTAAAGCCTGCCATATTGTCAGGATAATTGAGCATCGCGGCTTCGTACGGTGGGGACGGATAGTATTTGGTTGTTGTGAACGGAGAGCAGAATTGGGTCATCTCTGAATGAATTGATATATATCAAAAAAGTTAGAATTAAACCTATCCACAAAAGAGATTTTGTTTTGCGTTCATATACGCTACCTCTTAAATCCTGGTCAAATCCCAAGCCAATTCCTGTATGATCAACAATATCCATGGGCAGACCCATTGGAAAGCCAAACTCCTGACCGAAGTTATCCAAATAGAACATGCCTTGAGTTGTGTCTGTAAAAAGAATAATGGGATTAGAATAAACAATGTAGTGAAATCAACTTATCACTAAAAGCACATTCTTGCGCAACGCCCACAGGCTCACAAGCTCACAAGCTCACCACTAACTCTTTTCCATTCTCTCACACTCTCCGTCTCCCCTCCCCTTCACACACACTCTCCATCACTCCACACATACCATCATACAGACATTCGCTGCTATCGATACCATCGTCCACACTCCCGAACTGCTTGTCATCGAGTTCGCTTTCCGAATTCCCACCGCAGTCGTCGTCCGATCTAGAAGTAGCGTCCGATCTAGGTGTGTACATGCTTGTCTGTATATCCATGACTGTATTAGAATCTAACTCTGGGAGTGTAGATTGCTGTAAAGTGTTGACGGTGGATTGTGTATTATCATCAGCTTCGTGATTCTTCTTCTCTAGTATGGGTGATTTGGTTGTACTATTGTTTCCATCAATGTCCTCCTTCATTGTGGAAGTTTGTGAGTTTGTAGTAGTGCTGTTATTATCGCTGGTATCACTACAATCTTTTGGTTGTGTTTCCTCGCGTGGTGGGAGAGGCTCCAAGCCTAATTCGGCACGTAGGCGATTTATTTCCTCACGGAAAGAAGCGTTTTCTTCGATTAGTTGTCGCGTCTCCCTCTCATGACGCCTTTCTTTTTGACGGGTTGTGAGTATGAATTCGAGAGATTTTTGTACGATTGTGGATTTAGAAGGTCGGCGCACCTGCGCGAGTGAAGGGAGAGCATGGGCTAGTTCCTGGAATTTGGTGTTTAGGCACTCCCGTCGTGCCCTTTCGACGGCGTTGTGGTTGGCTCGCCTTTCAGCAGAGTTTGTGGACCTGAGTTTTGATTAGGAATAAGGTTGGTTAACAATGTTTTGTAATATTGATTGTTGTTTTCAATGCTGATCAAACAATCGGAAATTATACTTACTTCTTTGCGGCGTTTGCAACTAAATGAACCGAAAGAGAGAAAAGAAAAAGATAGGGAAAAAAAGGTTAGTTACTTGTAGGGGGAAATTGTTTGACGCAAGCCATTCACAAGCATATAACCGTATCGACGATTACTGCAATAGTATTGGTGGTATATAAACAGTTGCAGACTGCAAGATCGTCTGCGCTACAATCAACCATCGACCACTATAACATTCTCCGCGCATACGCACGCACACACATACACATACACACATACACCACTCACAGACACATATACACCACTCACACAACGGACTCACCCACCACTCACACACAGCGACTCGACCACCACACCCACACACTCTCTCACAATCACTCACACCACGCCTCATTCACTCACATGAAGGTATCTGAAAGGTAATGTTAGCGCAACCGTTTGATGGCATTCTGTTGGCTACGACGTGCAAGGAAGGTGTTTGGGCGAAGCTGACGATATTTCCACCGTTTATGGTCCCCATTTGTATTTCTTTTGTTGGTTTATAGACTATTGGCTGATTGTTTATCACCTCAAATGAACATACAATGACACACAGGAAATGGAGATTGCAAGAAGAAGCGGAGTCGGGGTGGTAAAGGTATGGAGAAGAGGAGGATTATGTATATATGCTATAGTGAGCCAACGGAATGCCGAATGCCAGGTCTAGAGTGGGTTGTCAGCGGCGTTCAAGCCAGGTAACACAACCTTAAAGAGTATTGTTAGTACAGAGAACGGTAGATATGGGAAGGGAAATGTTGAAGCGAGAAGAGAATGGAATTTTTAATTAGAAGGTGGTTATATATTTATAGAGTTTAAATCGAGGGTGGGGGGGGGGTGTTGGAGTGGAGGGGGTGTGTTGGAGTGGAGGGGGTGTGTTGGATGTGGGGTAGGAATAAGGGTAGGAATGAGGGTAGTAATAAGGGTAGAAGAAGGGGGTGGGGGGTAGGAAGAAAGAGGGGGGTGTGGCGGGGAAGGAAAACAAGTGATAAATAAGTAGTAATTGATTGATAAAGTAATAATTACAATTATGTTATTTTCTATACGGCCATTATAGCAATATACTAATTTGTATTTATATGGATATTTATAAAGTATGGTATCATACATATCATACATCGGATATGTACATCCATTTGCTGTTAATGTGTGCGAAAAGTACATGCTAGCCTATTTTATCATGCAGACTAATTTGATACCACATATGAAATTGTTACTGCGTTGTCGTTGCAATGATTGATTGCTTTTTCGATCGGAAGGCATTATGACATCCCGATCGACGCCTTCTAAATGTATGATGGAACAGGCAAGTATTATGATCAGAATGTACCTAGCCGACCTACAGATATTACTGCCGACTGTTTCTTTACGATATGAGCTAGACCGTATCGACACACTTTGCATGGCTTGGCTAGATTTGGCTACCCCGCTAATAAATTAAATATGTAAATATAGACATCAATTGAAACCATTGACCTTGGAAATCTGGGGTTGCATCCACCGAGGGTATCGAGGGTATGTAACGAGTATGTGTTGTAGTGTAGTAGTAGTGTTGTAGTGTAGTAGTAGTAGTTGTAGTGTTGTAGTGTAGTAGTTGTAGTGTAGTAGTAGTGTTGTAGTTGTAGTTGTAGTGTGTATGTATGTATGTATGTTGTAGTTGTAGTTGTAGTGTGTATGTATGTATGTTGAAATGGTGTGATGCAATATATGCGTATTCTATATGTTTATTCTGTATGTTTATTCTGTATGTTTATTCTATATGTTTATTCCGTGTCTTGTGTGTGTTATGTGTCTCTTGTGTATGTTATGTTTTATATTACGAATGTACAGTGTAGATGATTATTGTCATTTATGGTTATGGTTAGTATTATCTATTTCGATATTAGTAAATTTGCATCCATTTATTTACAAGTTTCACCTTTTTCAATGTTTTACAATAGCAAATACAGCAACTTCATTACAACGAAACCATGTTTACAAACAGGTTATAGATGGCCCTTACCCCCCCCCCCCTCCCACCTTTCCAACATTTCCAACACTTGCTTCCAACGCTTGCTTCCAACACTTGTTATGGCGAGTCGAAACATTAGTAACATTGATACACATATTTTCGTATCCGGAAGTCGGTCGGATACATGCACGCTTTATGGATATATTAAAACAATAGTGTGTATATTTTATTTTACTTCTATTTATTCTGCACAGTCCTGCATTATACTGTTACACACATATTTTCCAGAATGCAATCACTGTCACAAACGTCTCAGAACGGAAAAATTGTTTTCGTTAGCTAGTGTTTCAGTTTGACGATCTGTCCGCCCAGACTGTCTGAAAATAATTACGGGTCATGGAACAGAGAAATTGGTCCGGAACATAATATATTAGCAGGTAACTGTCCGTAGTATTAGTATGTGGGTGTAGTAGTATTAGTGCGAGTTTGTGTGTATGCGTGTATGCGTGTGTGTGTGAGTGAATATGTTGGAAACAAGTACTCATTTCCACTTGTGCGCATCAACCGCAAAGAATGGCAATAATGACCGATTAATTGCGACAATATCAAATCTTATTCAACACTATCACCTGATATTAATATCTCTAATTTATTATGGAGTGACATTATGTCGTACATTATATCATATTCTTACTTGTTATATTCACTGTTAACTTTACATTTACACAGTGCAAACTCATTCTCAGAACTTTGCATTCTCATTCTTCTTTCTTATTCCGAGCAAACTGTTCCGCCATCTACCAGTACCCCCATAATCTTCGGTTGACATTGTCTATCTGGGGTCATATTGGTTAGGTCGGGTCCTTCCCCCCCAGTCAATTGTGATTTCCAGAATAAGATCTTGGATTTTGGACCTTTGGAAGGTAGTGACGATTTCTTGGCATCAATTCCAAAATGGGAAATAGAGAGAGAATACTATTAGAATAGAAAATACTTACATACAACATTTGTAATAAGATAGACACTGTATGTTACATGAAACGTTGCATAGCATACAGTCTAACTATACATACTAGATTACATCGCTCTTATTCTCTTCTCTTACCAACATTCATCACATTACATTCATACCCTATTACTATTCTATTTTTTCACTCACTCACTCACTCACTCGCTATCTTTTACCCTGCATATAAACATCTGCTTTCCCTTTCCCGTCCTTCCCTTTCCCTCTCCCTTCCCCCTTTTACCTTTACCCTCTTCTTTATTACAAATTCCTTCTGCGTCATTTCCACAACCCTTTCATGCACTCTTTGGGATTAGTCTGCTGCATTTTCACATTGTGAAATTTCGTCATATGCCGTCCATTTGTTGTAATCGTGCTATCAACACAAAGAACTGTATTGTTGGTTTTAATTGAATTATGAAAGGAAAAAATCATGCCGACGTCAAAAAGGTATTATACATGCTGCTAATAAATAGTATATCAAGACAATCTTTTGTTAATGTTATCGGGTGATGACAATAGCACTATTGGATATTTTTAATATTGGCGTGTGCGCACCTATACCGATGCAGCTCCGAGGTAGATTGAACAGGTTTGTATATGCAAAAGGCTGATTAAAAATACAAGTAAATTTTTAGTATAGATAATAAAGCATCCAACAAACAACCAATGCTATGTAATTGCTGATAGTAAGCGACTATTTTTACATTAATTGCTCATGTCAGACTTACTTATTGATAATAGCCATATCCATTATTGATAACACTGATATCATTTCGCATTAGGAAATTACAAATTTTTGCATTTTTTTTTCCACGCTAGTAATCATGAGCGTCATATTTAACAATACTTCTCTACCAGCCATTATCCCTCCCCCACACGCTCCCTCACTCCCTCACTCCCTCCCCCACACACTCCCCCACACACTCCATCTTTCCCATCTGCCTATTTTTTGGAACGAATTATTGTATACCAAATGCAGTTGGTCCAAATAAATTTTTGAATTATATTCATTTCCATATTTGAGTATAATCTTCTGCTTGTCGAAAAAAAAGACAATTGACTGTTCACGTGTATTGCATTGTATAACTGAGATATCTGCAGGGAGGAGGTGGGGAGTGTAGACAAAAGCGATAAAGAAAGTGAACAAAAGCTTGGCACAGATATGCAGAATATGCGGGACAAATATATCAAGATTGAAACTGTCACTTTTAAACAAATGGCCCTCTTTCAAGTAAATCTTGTGGATCGGTAGGGGGTAAAATAAAAAGGAAAGCAAAGGCTTTCCATACTAATGTAAAACACATTTGTAGCGCAAAACAACAAAGAACGGGAAAATCACTATACTTTTTATTTGTTATGAAAACGCTCTCAGATCCGATAGTCGTTCAAATAACGCACATTCCTATTTCAACTCTCCTCTCCCCCTTACTGTGAATCGTTTCTAGGGTTTTAATTTCTGATGTCAATCATTACTGGGACAATCTCTGCGCTAAAACGTTTGATAATGAATACTCTATCAAAACCCTTGGCATAATGGCGTTTTTTATGAGATTTAAACTTGCTGGTCTTTTTTTTAATATCAACGCGTATGAAGATTGGACGCATTATTATAGATATCAAACAAACAACCATCTGAAACTTGTGTAATCTTCCTTTTGTCAAAGTTAATAATGCAAAGGCTTACAAACCGCATTTTCATATAAACAACTCTATGATAAGAGCTTGTATTTTGTTGCATCTACCCATTTTTTTCCCCTTCACCCTCAGAGTCTGAAGCAAAAATAAATGCGACATGAAATCATTTGTTGTGTGTTGTGTTGTAAACACTAGTCAAAACAAAAGATGTTCATTTTGCAAATCGAAAATTCGGTATACACACGAGTTGTCCGTATTACCCTGTTATGACTAATAGTGTCTCCAAGATTGTTTGTAGGGATTAGACCTCAACAGGATTGCTCTTTTACTTTGGGGACGTAAGCGGAGAACCAAGAGCGACCCGATTGGCCTAGACGGAAATACTAGTTCTGGGAACTTGTATTTCCTATAACCGAAGCGTATCCGATGCGTACCCGAATATAGCTAATCCTTGAATCAGAATCAGATGCTCGCATCCCTATATCGGAGAAAAGGGTTATGGATGCATTTGGGATGATATTCGCATTTGCGGCTCGCAGAGATCAAAATGTTTTACCCCAATAAGAAACTATGCGACTAACCCAAATTGTTACTGTTTAAGAGATGTCAATCTTGTAACGGGGGATTCTCAACTAGTGAAACGGAGTGAAACAACTTATACTATTATTACGGCCACAAATAGCAATAATGATTTGCTTGGCGTCATTAAATCAAATCAAGGTGGCATAGTTTTTAGAATATGACCGAACCATGCTATATTTTTGCCGATCAAATAAACCATGCGAGAGCAGAGAGAACAAGACAAGCTTCTATTCCATAGATTTTCCGTTTTCCGGCCTTAAGAAGAGAAAGATATGCGAATAAAGTTCAAAAAAAATATGCATAATAATTGACAGTGTGTAACAGAGATTTCTTATTATCACAATAGTAATAGGACTTTTTGATACATCCAAGTCGCATAACAACGGGCCATGGATCAACAAAGTGAAAAGGCTTATATGCATAGAGTAAATCAATATAGTCTTAAGTGGTTTCCATAATGTATTTGTCTAGAGGTAACCTTACCATGAGTTTAGACAACGCTATAATAGTCAAGATACTCGCCTTTTTTCATCGATAACATTACACTTGTGATTAGTACGGCCGAATAATTACAATATACTTTGACGTAATAAACCTTCTTTTGATTACCGACATGAATAAGTTCATATAGTCTGAACGCATTGTTACGATTGGACTTATTCTGGCAATAGCAATCATCATCAAAGAACGTGTTTTTGCAAACAAACGAATAGGCAATACTAATAATTAAAAGTGTACAATTTAAAGGTAATATTACAATTATATCCCGGAACAATATTAATAAGTTTCTGCAATTTAGCCTTCATCAGTTGACATATTAACAATTAGATTTACAGAGTTAGCATATAATATACGTGGTATAACCGATACGACCTTAACATGGATGGCCCGCTAACGCGTCCAAAAAAAAAAGTTGATCTATGATCTTATACGTTACTACATTCCATCATCTATCTATATGTTTATTCTACCTAAGATATTCATCCGTAACAATACCTTTTTATTAAACTAACTAAGGCCTTGTTTGTTTAAAATGCTTGTGAACGGAGGCATTTTTGTAGAGCAAATTATTTTTTAAAGTATTAATTGACTTTATTCTAGATTTATTGCTAAAAGCATTTTCTATCGTCAACTCCGCATGCAAGTGCCTTGGTTAAGAAAAAAGTTTTGCGAAATATCTGTCTGACGGTACAAATGTAAAATGTTTGCTTTCAAAAATAAATTGATTTTGGGTTTGATTAGAATATTACAAAGTTTACAATTTTATGTTGATCGGAAAAATTTAATTTAATGGAACTCAAGAAAACGTAAGCTAAGCAAACGAATCAGTAAACAAGATTACTCATTAGAATTGAACACGTGTGGAAAAACTTTAACATAATATAGTTACCTAAAAGAACAACTCCATGAACAAAGAAACAGTTTGTCTCAAATCTCCTGAATTAAAAAAAAAAAAAAGAAAAGAAAAGAAAAAAGAGAAAAAACCTTTTTATACTAGCAGATAGAAGAAGTAGAATTTATGAATAAATTAATACGAAAATTGTTAGGAAAGAAATTAACTAACAAAAACTAGAAAGACAAAAGGATTAATTATTATAGCTATTTGGTCACCAAAACATGTGACGGCAAAAACTTGTTTACATTGTCGACGATGATGACAACTTTGCACTTGCATCATCATTCTGGTTATTCCACTCAGGTAGATTATGCCTGTGATTTGTTCAAGGACGTTGAGATCACATTTGCATCCAGTCATATGTCAATCAAGTTGTGCTGGCGTTGGTAGTCAAACTATCAGAGATCGCATTTGCATTGTTATTCGCGTAATATAAGATCACATTTATGTCGTTAGGTCTGCACCGTGTTCGAGCTATTACAGAAGCATCCTCTCTCCACGAGTTGTGTCAAACTTTGGGACAATGGATTTGCGTTTGCATCGTCGTTTGGCCCGAGCTTTTTATTACATTTATTTATCACGTTTGAATTAAATTATGGGAAACAGATTTCTAAAATACAAACTTTATTGTTATATAACATATTTTTTTAAAACAAATGATATTCAGTGTAAGAAATTTATGAGAGAATATCCAGCTAACTTGTAAAGTAGTTACTAAGTCCCAATTATTGTAATAATATTGTAATAGCGAAAAAGATTGCCTAGCACTAATACTTCATTCACACTCCAGTCTACGCGCATCGATTTCAATATCCCTGTCATGACCATAAAATTGTATTGATGCAGTAACGAATTATTAAGTAAGCAAGTTTGCTTTAACTTTGCGTCGTGAGTCAACTTTGTTTGTAGGTTCGCGAAACGATGAAAATCATTGCAAAATGCACAACCAAATATGCATGTCACCTCTGATCCGATAAACTCTAAAGCACATCTTCACGTTACACAATAAACGTGTTTAAAGTAATACGTTCAAGCTTTACCTTAGGTTAATCCCACCAAGTAAAAGTCGGGTTAAATAGCAAAGGTCATTAACGTATTAGCAGGCGTATTGTTAACGATACCCTGAAATTATTGCCAACTTAAAAATATAACAATAAAACAAATTTCGAAGAGCAACCTACAAGCAGACTTTTGTTTATTAATAGCG